GGATCTTCTTTTTAATAAATTCTTGAAAATGTTAAAAAAGAGAGAGAGAAAGGGGGGCCCGGCAAGGAAGTTTGCCCATGCTGGCTCTCGACATTCCTGGGGATGTCCTTCAACATTTGCCAGTGGGTTAAAAGGTTTTGTTTTGAGGAGTTTATGAAAAATATTTTAATCACTCTAGTGAGTCGTTTTCCATTATGACATTTTTACTTTAATTACTTTTTTGTATTTGAAGAGACTTCTGTAAATGCATCTTGGAGAGAAATTTCTACTGTAAAAGGGGCAAGAAAGTCTGTAAAGCTAAATTAAACAAAACAGTATCTTTATTATGTATCTTAATATGGCTGGAAGGGTATAATGAAACTACATTAAATGAAGTAATATTATTAGATTGTAATTTTTTTTAACCTTTGTTTAAGTCCTCCATTTTACTTATAAGAGATGGTACTAAGATGAGGAGATTATGTATTACAGTTTTTTTGTTAAAACCAAACACTAGTAGTTCTGTAAGCCAGTACTGTTGATCTCAACAACAGGCTCAGTCCGTGAATTTTGAGAATGACATAAAACATGCAACTTTTGTTAGATTTTAGGGGGTTCAGTAATTTAAATCATCCTTGTAATTTGTGGGTTCAGTGAAGCTCTGTATGTTTATTAGTCATGTAAAAGTCAAGCATTTTTTATTCTTTTTTTCATGAGGCTTATTTTTATAACACAACAAAATTCTTGTCTGAAATAAATTTGCAGTAGACATTTTGACATCCATGTGCAGTAGGTAAGCACATGCAGATCAGTTCTTTAACAGAATAAAAATAACTTAAAACTGAAGTAAGTGACAGAAAATTTTGTTGAACATATTGAAAGATGTTTATCTAAACTGTGTGACATTGTACATGGTAAGAGTCCTTGAATAAGGTTTCTTCACTACCTGGATTACACCTTTAAATAACAAATAGAGAAAATAGCAACAAGTATTTCAGTTAACTTACTCACCATTTTGACTTATTGTATTATTGTAATCCATATACTTCATTTTGTTAATTTATCAAAATTCATTTTTGGTTCATAAGGTAAATGTTTTTCAACCTAGACAAGCATATTATTGTAAGTACCCTTGTCAAAAAATAGTTGGCTTCACTGCTTGTTTTTTTAAAAGTATTTTTCATATATATTTTATTAAAGGATGATTGTGAATATTTTATGTGAAGAGACAAATGTATAAATAAGATGATGTAACGTAAACAGATTCTACTTTAATTTTATCTTAATTATTTTGTTTTTCACAGGATATTATGAAGTTTAGTTCAGCAACAACCAAGTTTTGAAGATAGTTCAAAAGAGGAACAGTTACCAGAAAAAGTTTAGAAAAGAAAGTAATTGTATCTGTTATGTGACCAATAACCAAGATGATATTGATAGTTTCTATAAATAAATTAAAATAAAGACCTTAATACCAGTTTGAAATGTGATTGAGTGTTTAAAACATGGTTTGTTGTATTGAAACACTGCACTGTTTACTGAGGGAACTAAATGAAATGTTTAATTGATACTTAAATATTCTGACAGTGTTTTTCAATCTAGAGAGTTAGGTACACTTTTCATTTTTGTTTTATAATGAACTTAACAACAAAACATAAAGCAAGAGGAATTATAGCGGAAAAATTCTGCATATAAAACCTTTTATTATTCTATACAATATATAAATTATGTAATCCACATCAATGAAACATTCTTATCTGTTGAGGTGTCATATTGAAACCCCATCTGGACCTCCTCCTCCTCCTTTTTGGCAGTATTGCATTTCATTAAGTAACTATAAACAATGTATGTTGATGAACTTCACATCAAAACATAGTTTATAATTCAAATACTTAAATTATCTAAGTTTTTAAGTTCTTAATTTCAAAGGGAGATATTTAGAATTCCCAATCTTTATTTTCTGTGTTACATGATGTGCCTGAGCTCTGATTACTCAATGCCAGAAAATTCAACTTCAAAAATAGGCTTCTACAGCTTACAACCAGTCGGAAATACAAACTTTACATAATCATTAGCCAAAATCTAAACTTTGAACCTTCCATCATGATTTGCTGAAGTATCAATCAATATTTCATACCACCAGATAAGTCCCTCTGATTAATGACTTTCGAGAAGAATTGTTTACTAACCAATGTTAAGTGCTTAAAGGCAAATTCTCCTTTACATAAATCTTGATTTAGTTTTTGTGCCTCAAAATGTTAGTCAGTGGAACTGCTTGGTATGTGATTATGTTGTGCACCATATTATAAAGGAAATTTTTTTTTTTTTACCTATTTTTAGCTTACATAAAAATCTATATAAATTGTAGTGCTTTTGGGACATTCTGGTATAGTGATATATTGTGTTATAGAATGCATATTTCAAAGCTACATGAATTCTTTATTGGACATCTAAATGTGTGAGGCTATAAGGCCCAACTGAAAGAATGTTAATCGAACACAAAACTGTCTCAGGTGTTAGCATTGCTTACAAATCCACGTTTTTCATTCATATTTTTTTTTTTACTTATTGTTATGTATTTTAACAAACTAAAATGTAAAAAAATATAAACTTGCTAGCTTATAGTAACAAAACTGCAGTAAAATAACACCGAAAAATTCATGAGCTAGGTGGATGTAGAACTTGTAACTGTAGGGGAAACAGCTAATGGGCTCTGGATGTGATGTACTGGTTTTGGTGCACAGCAATAAAAAAATATAAAATAAAAGAAAGCAGATGTGAAAAGTTAGAAGTTGAAGCTGTTATGAAAAGTAACTTGGAATTGTCTGATAAATTTCTGCGGATGAAAAATGGTACTTTACATTTTATGTTTAAACTTTTCACTGTGTGTTAATGATTTCGCTACAGTTAGTGTTAGGGTAGAGAAAATAAGAGATAAGATATAAAGTTTTGCTGCAAAAAACGATCTTCATCATTTAGAAGATTAACGGTTATGCAAGATGAAAATAAATGTTTTTGTATTCTCTGATAGATTGTTTAGGCAGAGTATTCATGATCAAACTTTGTAGAATGAACGGCAACTACCTGTTGTAGAGACAAAAGTGTAGGTCAGTTTGTTCCTGGCAGTTATTTAGATTTAAAAATAATTATTTCCGAAGAAATAATTACTAATCTGGGGTGCTTGAAGATTAAACAATCCTCCTTCACCCCGCTCGTGGTCTAGGAATATGAGCTTAACTTGAGAAAATAGGAAATTAATGCAGACGAGGTATGTAACTTTAAAAAGGTAAATTGGAGAGTAACTGTAGACAATGAAAAGTGAAGAGCAAAGTAAACTAAACTAAACAACCGATATTGGACGGATGGTCCATCAGGGCGGCGGGGATCTAAAAATCCTATGCCGAGAATTTAACGTGGGGGGAAAAGGGAGTACCCCGAGATAACCCACTTTCACTGGTAACGACTGATTCGTTACCAGTGCCCGATTAGCGAGAAGAAGTAAGTAGGGAAGGCAAAGTAAAGTCCGGTGCTGGGGGTGGATTAGCTATTGAATCTGTTGTGGAGTATAATTGTGTTAATATAAAATGATTCTACATTTATTCCGGTTTCCGCCACACCTAAATTTGGGGCATAGAACTTGTAGGTTCCCGCCCACCCTGAGAGGGTCGTTGATTAGTTAAGTAATTAATTAATTAATCTATCGTTCAGTTAATAAATCAATTAATCATTTGGCAATAAATTATTAGTTAATACAACATCAAAAAAATATCGTAAATTCTACACATATAGGAACGCCTACCCGTGCCTGGTGTCTTCCTGTAGCAGCAACATTCGAACACGAAAATGATGATGAAAATTCAATATTATTCTTCTTCATTGTTGCCGGTCTCTTTACCCTTCCCGGAATCATGAGAACTAACATTCCACGAGCGGGGTTGAAGAGGAACGAAGTGTTCCTGAGCACCCCAGTTGCGGAGAGAAGTCTCTTGTCTTCTCTCTCTTCAAACTCAATCCCTGCCACATAAGTAAGTAAGTACTCTACACTTGTGTGTCTACAACACGCAGTTGCTGTTCATTCTACAAAGTTTCGTCAAGTATATTTGTATTTAACGTGAAAATCACCTCTCACTTAGGCTGGGTAAAGATTTCATAAATTCACAGAAAAATCTTTTGTAAAAGTTTTTTTATGAAAAAAAAGCCTAATTTTTTGGTAGACAGAAGGCTTGTAATGTTTACTGAAAGCTTGTCAAATTTCATGAAAATACACTTGGTACATTCAGAGATAATAGTATTTATGATTTCGCAGTTACAAGATCTCAAACTTACAACTGTTTATTTTTTTCACGCACAACTAGCAGTAGTTAGTTAGTTCATTTGTATAAAAATAAATGTTAATAATTATTCTGATGATTTTATCAATCTGTAAAGTCAAGTTCACTTTTTGCATTTTGTTTTATAAAGAACCGACAGACAATTAACAGCGTGAATAACAGTGGAGTAACTTTGTATACACTCCATTACTGAAAAAATGGAGAGAACGAAACTACAAGCTGTTACATTTGTATTTCATGTGTTAATACCGATAACGTACTTGAGGATAGTTAAATACTGCCGGATGTTACTATGAAACTCTAGATGACTAAAGAACGTGCATATGTGATCAATTCAAGGACGACTGTGCAAATCCTATTAATGCAAAATGTATTATATACCAAAGCTTCCAGACAAAAGATATTATAAACCAAAGCTTCTAGAGGATCCAGTTCACATTTCTTCTTTTTTTTTATAGTATCTGTATTTTGAGGTGGTGATTTCAGCTTTACAATCAGCTGCAGAGTCACTTAGATATGTATGTTGGTGGTATTACTTTGAAATATATTTTCTAGCTCCAAGAAATTTTTAATATATAAGTCATGGCATGCTCATCAAGTGGATATTGGTTATAGCTTACTTGCATTTTTGAATTTTCATCTATGCCAGGAAAGATTCATCATATGTGGAAAACAACACAAGTGAATATAACACCAAATTTCACTTCCAAGAGTGCTGTCGTGTTTACAGTTGAACCACAGTTTCTAGAAATAATATATGATGTTTATTGGAGTAGCTCCTTTATTATCCGTTCATGTTAAGATTTCATGCAAGTCATTACCTTTCCTACTAGCATGTGATATGTGCTTTTTTTTTTACTTGGGTAATCTGTTGATCACACAAAAGTATATCATCATTTTAGAATAATCAGATCACAACAGTTTTAACTGTTATTTCTTCCTCTGAATGAGTTTTCTCAGCAAAGGAGGAACAATTTTCAAGAACTCTCTAATTCAGACAAATGGGTTTTTCTTAACCATCCAGCGGCGTAGGATATATCCCCGCAATTGGAGGGGTGGGGGCAAGTCATCTAGAATCGTAACTACAATTATAGTTATGCCATTGTAACCACCTAACTATATACCTTTCTGATATGGCTGAGTGTTATTAATAATAATTAGGCTAAAAATAATTCACTGACTTTTGATTTAGATTATAAAACTAACTGTTTCACAACATCCAAAATCGAAACTTAAAAATATCCTACAATGTGTTTGGCTTAACAGGGGTCCTTGAAGAATATAAAGATCTTATTAATACTGATATTCAAGTGGAATAATTGTAAGACATCAACGAACATTAAACACAGTGAGAAATAAGTGATTTATTGGTAAATTGTATCCAATCGAGGAACTCGAAAGTTTTTCTAGGCTAACAAGAACTTTCATAAATAGTTTAATTACATATACTATATATTCTAAAATTATTTGCAGTCTGTATAAGTTTTGACGAACAACTTCAAATATACATGAACATATACCGTTCTAGACGGATTATATAAATATATCGAAGGAGAAGATACTGACATTCAACACGTATAATAAATAAAGGGAAACCAGAACCTCGATAACATCACAGTTTTTGGCTTTAGCTGCTCGTAGATCTGCTTGTTCACAGTAACTGGTTATCCTTTCATCAGAGTGGTATTCAAGATGAATCGGGGATTTCTTTTATACAGAAAGAAAGAAAAGGTGTCGTAAATGCCTTTGAGCGCAACGAATCCTCCTTTTGGCCTTCTCAGCGTAAAATCTCTTGAATGATTAAACAACGATTATTATTGTTTGTTTTTCTTTTAACATTAATTTACTTTAAACAAAAATGTCGAGTTGAGGAACATTTCAAACACAACAAATCGTCTCTGAATTAAGTATAATTCAGTGTTTTTATCAAACATTGTAGTCATCTCCACCAGCTTCGCTGTTTCTATTGCAGCAAACTTTTGAACAGTATCTTTCACCAAGAATTTTCGCACAAATACATAAGAAAAGTATGAAAACAATTATTAATAAGACGCTTAAAGATTGATAAAGCTTATGAGACATAGCAATCGATGTTTTTTGTTTGTACAACTTTATATCCAAACCACCTTACACAAGTAACTTAGCATTTGCG